AATTAATATTAGTAATAAAATTGGATGATATAAAGTAAAGATTAAACTAATTAGTTGAAAAACTCCCAAAGAATGTCTAAGCATTTATTCTTAAAAATGATATGTAATATTAAAAGTTGATGGAATTTAATAATAAAATAGAACATCCATAAATATTTTTGAGGTTGATGCAATATAAATAAATTATAATTAGTTTTGTTATTCTTGATAACAAAAACCAAAAGATTTTACATTTAAAACTACCTTTGGTATCTTAAAGATTAATACTCCAGTCATAAAGAAAAGTATTGGTTTGGAAAATATGGCAGAATAAAATGTGATGGCTAATATAATTAGAAGGAAAGAGAATGGGTTATTTCAAGACACATACTTTTGCACTGTCAATAAGTTTCTAAAATACTTAGTCTTTGGTGGTATTACATTTATTAGATGTTCTTAATTTTCTCAACTAACTTAGTTCAGCTTTGAATCCTTCTGCGGAGATAGAAAAATAATTAATAATTCGGTATATAAACCTAATCTTTAATAATATCATTATTTATGATGAATGATGTATCTCTGTGGAAGTGGCAGTGTGCAGGTGTGTATAAATATCTCATTAAATGTCAGGGTTCTATAGCATACTGGAAAGATCATCAATTTAGATCTCGCCATATTTTTACTTTCATGCTCTGATTTAATAATTTGACAAAGTCTTCCATCTTTCTTTTTCTCAATTTCTATACATGCACAATAGATAACTTTGTTGATTATTTACCTCTTATTATAGACCTATAAAATAGAAATAAAATTAAAATCAATTTGAATGTTCTAACTTGTATTTAAGCCCACAGGAAACTCAACATCCCCCCACGTTAAAGAAAATGCATTTTATTTTTCGATAAGAAAGAAATGATGGGAATGGTTGTAAACAAAGAAGAAATTACATTTATGAAGAGTCTAATTTATATTTTGTATTACTTCTCATAATTAATTTAAGTTAAATTTGATAGGCTGATAAAATATATAAAAGAAATACTCAATCCCTTGTTTCTCCAGGTTATATTGATTCATTTTATCTCACTTTTCATCCATATTTTATTTCCATTATCATTGCTTCTTTGATGCTCACAATTTCCTTCTTTAAATTTCCTGCTCTTTTTGGATTTCCTCTAATGGAAATTCAAAATTTATATCTTAGACACCTAATCTTGGATTCTTAATTATGACTTCCCCCACAATTCTTATTAATCTCTTAGTCCAATCCAATTGGATTTCTTATTCTTATCAACATCAATAATTCTTATGCTTCTATTAACATCTTTTCTTCTTAATATAATTTTCTTTGTGCCTCTAACTAATAAATATTAAGCAACACGTAATTTAAAATTCTTTCGTAGGCACACATCTCATTTAATGCCTCTTTCAATCTTTGAAGTTATTAATAATCTTGGTCTTCTAATAGGGGAACTACTCATAATTAAGTATGAGTCAATGTATCTCTTGTTTTCTTTTGTATTCTTCTCACTATTTTTCACTGTAAACTTCTTCCAATTATAAAGTTTACATTCATTTATAAATATTGGGATTTTCTTTTTTGTAAAATATAATCCCGACTTAATTCAAATACATCAATCCCCTATTTACTATATTATCAAATTTAATGAAGAGCCTTAGGAAATGAAGGATTCCATAAACCTATCGCCTAGAATCAATTTTTTTTTGTTTTATTTTTTTAAAGAAATAACAGTACTGTACTATATTGAATCGATAAATCTAAATCTTTAATAAAACAATAAGAATAGGATATGTTGATTTTCATAATTATGAGATGATAAAGAGAACTCTTTAATATATATCTAAGATATTGATTTTAAACTTAAAATTAAAGATAAAAAGCAATCACATATTATTAAGATTACTAGTATCAATAGAGAAATTTCTGACCTAAAGGAATTAATGAATAACTGCTTTAAGAAATTCAATTTGATGCTAAATCAGTGTTAAGATTGAGTAATAAAATATGTTGAATCTACAAAAGACTATTATCGCAAAATAGATAGAATATTTGTTAATAAGAGAATCATATACTCATGAGTTAAAATAAATTTTAATAGCGTATGTGCATATTAAATAACAAAAGAATATTATATTAATATATTGGATATTAAGAGAATCAAGATAATTAATTTAAAGGCGTGAATGAATATAAATTAGATACAAATATTAAAAATGATTTAGTCGTAGTCTTTAAATTTAAGATGTGAAAAGGATGATCATAAGGATTACATAGACATGTTTTGTTTTAATTAGTTTTGTACAGAATCTAGATTAAATTGCTTTAAGTGCATTTAGAAAGGAATCCATCAGGCTCATTTGAATGATGTTTAAAAATTCAATTATCTCTTAAAATTTATTGAAAATAAAAATAAGGAATGTGATGATTTGATTGATGATCTTAATTAATTTGTAGAATCTGTGAATCAATCGTTTTCTTAATTTAAAACTGGAATCAAAAATAAATATTCTTTATCAAACGACAGATTACTAAATCTAAATTAGTAATAAATAAATGATGTCTTGAATTCAATCATCAAATAGACTGATGACAAGTAATTAATAACAACACTCATTTCAGAATAGACAAAGAAATTAAATCATTCTTTTAATTATTTGTATGAATAATTATAATTATCATCAATTAATTATTATCAAATTTTAGAAAACAATAGAAAACTATCAAAAGAGCTTTATGAAAGAGGTAATTATGTAACAAAAATATCATAGGTCATAAACTATATAAGGTTGATAAGTATAAAGAGGCCATTGAGATATTTGATAAATCAATATAATTAGATCCTAATAATCATTTATCTTTATAGTTTAAAGGTAAAATAATAAACTATTAATAGGCGAATGCTTAAAATAATTAGATCAATATGAGTATGCAATCACTTGTTTGGATAAAGCATTAGCTATTGATCCTAAACATGTTGATTCCTTATGTATTAAGGGTAAATTGATTTATTGTTAAATTAATAGGAGAATG